TTCCCAAGGTGCCAGTACAGCACACGTGTCCCTGCAACCAGCACCGAGCCCCTGGTACAAGGAGTTCCAGGGCAGCTTACCCGGAAGCCCATCTCAGGTAGCCGGGTTGGTAAAGCTTCACATATTCCCCTTTCTAATCCACAAGCATACAGAATACAAGAATACAGAATAAAGTATCTGCAGAGGGCAGATAGGTCACAAAATGTCTATGGCTAGATGTCACCTTCCCACTATACTCCCAAAGCAGACTCAACAGGCTGTAATGTGGCCTTCAACACGTTCCCCAGATGCACTTCAGCCTTCACTTCTGCAGTGCCGTTTCCCCAGTAGGTGCAACCACGGGCAGAGCTTCCCATGTCCCCGAGGAAACCTCCATTTCACCCAGTACTCTCACAGTGCACAAATGCCAGCTCTTTCTATTCATTTCTCTCGTGGTGCTCATGTCTCCTTCTTCAGAGGAACCTGTGGGAAGTGCTGAAGCTCCAAAGCTGTTTCATGCCTCCGGATGCTGGGGTTATGTTGCAGTATACATAAAAACGATGGGTGCTTCACCAAGCAAACACAATGACACTGTCCCAAGAGCAAAGCCCTTTCTAAGCTCAAGAAGGGGAAAATGAGGAAAAGGTACTGAAAGTGTGGACAGGATGAAGAACCACGGGACTGAAGGAGAAGTGACAACAACGGGATTCCATGTTGTGAACATCAGTATCTACCTGGAGACCTGCTATTAGCTCTACTGGAATTCAAGTGAGGAGCACAGTGATACAATGTAGTATTACAAATGCTTAGAGTTAAGAACATCATATTTTTGACAGTCTCTGCAGGTGCTTGTGATCAGGAATCCCTAGTAACAGCTTGTACAAACAGCAGCACAAACCAGCCAGTACCCAATTAACAACAGCTATACTTCAATTTATACTTCACCATGGTTTACACTTCGAAGTCACATGCAAACTGAACTTCATTTTTAAATGTATGTACTCTAAAATACACATATTCCTTGGCCATGCAAATCAATGTATATCCCCTCCTCCAGCTATGACAGGAGTGTTTTTAAGAGTATGATAAACTATATGCTAAACACATATGCTAAATTAGAGCATGCTAATTTTATGATGAAGTCTTAAATTAAGACTACGGCCATGGAGGTGAATGCTGGTATCCATTTTCACTGCCTGTTTGCTGCTGCAGAACTGATGGCCAACTCCTGAACTGCACATTTTGTGAGCTGCACAAGAATCAAGGAACTTGCCTTTATATTTCTTGTCCAAACAGGCAAAATAGTCAATTTTTTCAGTCTTGGTTATACTGCCCATCAACAAAACCAACCTTTGTGTCCTGACAAAATCAAAAGGTATCTGTCACAGTGAACAACACAAGGTCACAGAGCAGATTTAGTTAACTCTATCATGTGTTCCCTGAGCCGCAGGCATGAGACCAGCATATGGTCAAAACGAGGCAATAGAATCAGCAAAATAAAAAATAAAAGATTTATCTTCTCCTAGAACTTCTACATTGCAGCCATTGCTACAATTTGGTAATTTTCTTATTTCACTGACTTCAGTTAAGTTTCTTCTAACTAGCTGAGAAAGGAGAATTAATTGCAAATAACATTTATTTCCTGAACAAGACCTGAATACCAGAGCTTCAGAAAGTTAAAACATCACTCATCTGGTTTTCCAGATTCACACACCAGCTCATTGCTCTGCAACTGCTATATTAATTTTGCAATCTACACATGGTGAGATTAAGGTTAACATCATAATTGTGATTTTGGTTTATACACCTGATAGTGTTTGAACTGCCAAACGGCTAAAGATGACAACTATTTCACATTAGGATCGTATTTCCATCACAACTTTAGCAGTCTGCCTACTGTGCTTGCGTGGGGCATTTTATTTTCATCTGCATCCATTGTACGCTACTATTTCAGAGAAAGAGACAAAGATTCTGCGTTATCAAATCCAGCGTTGTGGATGAATTGCTGAAGTGGTCACGTTTGTTCAGCAGATTGTTCCAAAAACTCACTCACCTTCACACTCCACCTCATTACACACCTTAACTGCCTCCATGTTTGCTTAACAAGAATGAGTAAAACGGACAAAACTGTCAAGTCTTTTGTCTCTGTCACCAACTGCCTTCTTGCTCTGAGCACTGGGCAAATGCCCACATCTCTCTCTCTAAACCTATGAAGAAAAAGACACTGCAAAGCAAAGCGAGCAACAACATTAACGCATCAGACATGCATGTTTGGGAATACACAGTATCATAGGGAACATAAGCTAGATACTATCTAAGAGAGGGAGGCAAGTCAGGAAGGAATATGACAGGTTGGCAAAACTGTTTGCCACCTGCCTAACTCTTGTTCACCAAATCCTGCACATGAAAACGATGCCCTCATTAAAGAACCTGGGTTTAAACAGGCAATAGAAACGTATTCCGTCACACAGCACACAAGTAGCAAACTTCTGAGCCTTGCTGACCCAGGAGCTTGTGGTGGAAAACAGTATTGGCATGTTCAGAACAGGATCAAACCAACTGGTGGGGAGCAGATCCCTAGAAGGGCAGGCCCTGCTGCTGAGAGACGTTCCCATCCACGCAGCATTCCAGCTTTACCCACTGCGCACCGAGTTCAACCTTCCCTCGCCAATCCTCAGCACTCACTCATACAACAAGTCTGTGAAAAAATGGGGAAAGCACTTTTCAAAACTAGGGCAGGTGTCCACATTTTCACTTAACTTTCCATACAGCGCTCGTGATTATTTTTTTCATTTTACCCAGTTTCAAAATGATTCTAACAAAAGGTGCTATGGTATCGTCCCTTGGCTCTTCACTAGTATTCAAAAATCAAAGTGAAAATATCAAATGCAAAAGTTCTGCTTTAAAAGTCAAGGTTAACACTCTGTTCCTCAAAGAGGAGGAGGTCTTCAAAAGCAGAATTTCCAGCCAGATGACAGAAACGGAATTCCTAAAGCGCATGAACCCACAAATACAAGGAAAATCTTAAGAAGAATGTGCCCTACATAACGTACAATAAAAGCTAAGCTCTGCAACACTTAAATGCTGCTATTTTTGGTAATTGGAATAATTCTACTTTTCTCATTCCTAGCAATTTGATTTTCTACAGCACCACGGTACACTCATGAAAAAGACTTTACAAAGACTTCCCTAACTGGTGAGCATGTATTGCCACTGCATACAAAGCAGCACAGAATCATGTGCTCAGTAAAGGCCATCTTTGCTTAGGCTTCCTAATTAAAAAAAAAAAAAAAAGACTCACTTGAGATATTCAGTGTCTCTTCTTTACTGAGAAACCCAAACCAGGAAACAGTTCTCCACATACGGCCCACAAACACAAAAGCAGAGGTACCAATCCCTCCAACCGCGGGTAGCACTCCTGCCGACGCAGCCTGGCGCGCAGTCACCGTTCACCACCGCCCGGCCGACGAGGCACCCCCTGCTCGTGCAGGGAGCCCCGCACCATCGCTCGCAATCACCAGCCTGCTGCTGTTTCCCCAGGGCGCTGCCTGAGCGGTGGCCAGCAGCCCAGCCGCGCTGGCCGGAATGGGAGCGCTGCGCTCCAGCCGCGGCTGCTGCGGGACCGGCCCCCACGCCGAGAAGGGGCTGACCACACCGACAGCTGCCTCCTCCACCGCTGGCATCGCTCCTGCTCACAGTGACTTATGTCCCCTCTGCCCCGTTCAAAAGCTGACACTGGGAGGCTTTTGAGGGCTCAGTGTAGAATTAGGGAAATACAAGGCTTGCCTGTATAGAATACATAATTTTCAGATGGACTACACCGGATTCACAGCCGTTTGGCTATGCACCGAGTTTGTCTGCAGGCTGCTCTGCCTGGTTACAGGCCTGCACACATACCGGGTACGGCTGCTCCCCTGCGAACGGTGCCTGCGGTTCGGCTATCAACGTTCCTGTTTTACGGTACAGACTTGCAAGTTCATATTCGATAAATCAGAAATTAACCTTAAGAATATATATAAATAAATAGGGATTATCAGACTAATTGGTGACAAAATCAGTGATCAAAACATCCTCTGAATTTTTGGGTCTTCATAATCTCCCTAATCATTTTATCCAACAGTATTTTATCTCCCACCACTCCTAATATGAGTTCATGAGCTTGGCAAGCTAAATCAATTTCCAAGAAAACCTGGGTACAACATAATATAAATAGATGACATATTAAAAAGCAATTTTTATGACTTCCACATGCATTTGCAAGCTCCTGCATGTGCTGTCAGTCGTGGTTCACGCAAGCTGCTCTGCACAAATGGTACACTGGGGGCGAGCTCAGCTTTGCGAGGAGAATCCACTCCTCCCTGCTGCAGAGCAGCTGAACGGTGAAGTGGTGGTGACCTATGAAGCCTGCCAGTGCCTCAGGGCATGTACACACTGCAGGGCAGCATTGGAGGCGAGAACAGTTTTCCCCTTCCAAACTTACAGGTAGCAATTCTCATTAATCATTCATTCCTGTGTAAGTTTTTGCTTAAACTGATGTTAACTTACTAGCCATTTTTCTTAAAAATATCCTTCTATATTTTCTGTTAAGAGCAAATGAAATAGTTCATTTTAAACATAGTTACACTTTAATATTACAGTCAACACATAATTCTGAAAAAAAAATTAAGCTTAACATTTATTTTCTTTTACATGAAGATAGGCACTAACTCTCCTAAAATCTCACATAAGATATTATTCCTCAGATGTCATGATTTGGCCATATAGTCTTTACGTCATGTTTCATTAAAGACAAATAAAATAGCCAAACGTCATTACATAACTTTTTGCCATTTAACAACGGACAAGTAAAATGCAAAATCCTGATACAATTTCAGTTGTAACCAGCAAATACAACAGGAACTGCTCTGAACACCCAAATCAACTGGTGGAGTTCATGAGAATCTTCCCAATCACTCCCACGTGCTTGGGGTTATGATACCAAGATAAACATTAGCAAGCAAAAAAGAGAAGTGAAAACTTACCCATGAATTCAATTCCTAAGTGGTCTGCTATACCCAAGAAGGCATGTAAAAGATGACAGAAAGAGAGAGCAAAATGTTAGAAACGGGACACAACACAAACATCATCTGTACCGTCATGTGCAGTAGGACCTGTGTGAACTGGTGGGTGGCTCTGCTGCAGGACTCCCCGGGGCTCGAGGACCTGCTCTGGAGCTGCTGCTCACACAGAGGAAACAACACCCTGACCCTAGGAGCACACTCGAAAGAGACTGTCACCAAGGCTGGCACCAGTGGGGACAGACATGGACACCTCTCTGTATTTCATTAGACTTGTGCCTGACTGAAAGGCCTCCAACCAGTTCACCAAGGGAATTGCTTCCCCGCCTCCTGAAAAGCCTCTCTCCAACTCCTGACTACTTCCACTCATTAGACAAGCTCCTTGCTTTCATTTTCTCTGGCAGAGATCAAAACCTAAAGAGATAAATGAAAGACTTTTACTGACTTTTGCAGCTCTCATTACTGAGCACTGGCCACACTCAAGGCGAACGTGCCTACTGGCTGTTTTACAATGGAAAATCCGGCAGTGCAATAGGAATAGGACACAGCAGACCTGCTGCCTGCTTTGCCACAAGCTCAAGCGAAAAAACAGAATATTGGCTGAACCTACTATATGGAAATTCCAACATTTCAGGACTAATTTTTTCCACATGTCTGAAATTTGACTTGCCTAGGCAATGTTTTAGTGCATTAAATTAATATAAAATCTTTATTAATTTTAAACTACTTGCTGTTTTACAAGAGAAAATCCGGTAGTGCAATAGGAATAGGACACAGTAGACCTGCTGCCTGCTTAGCCACAAACTCAAGCAAAAAAACAGAATATTGGCTGAACCTACTATATGGAAATTCCAACATTTCAGGACTAATTTTTTCCACATGTCTGAAATTTGACTTGCCTAGACAATGTTTTAGTGCATTAAATTAATATAAAATCTTTATTAATTTTAAAGTTGGTATAAAGTATGCTTAATTTGATTCTAGGTGATTAAGTAATAATAATAATGAGTCCAAGGAACTGCAAAAAAAAGATTGCAAAGGGATCCAGCACCAGAGAAAATTATAATTGGCTTTTCAAGACTGAGGGTGTAGGAAGCTAAACTTCAAATTCACATCGAGCTGCTGCAGGACAAACACAGCTAAAGTGCAAAACACCTACTGTTCTCTTCTAGCCTAGATCTGAATTATTTTCCTTTCCTAGGGGAATTAAGAAGCAGGTTTTTGACCAGACCAATGAGACGTTTTTCTTTAAATATAGTATTTTTTTTCTTTTCGAGTTGCTTATGTGTGCCTTTCAATTTATAATCACGAGTGCCCAGAACCGGGCTGTACTGCTTGGAAATTTGTAAAACTCTTTGCCTCTTAGTCAATACATTGCAGCTTTCAACAGTTCACTTAAAAACTATGCAGCAAAGTCAAAAGAAGGTTTCCAAAATAAACAACAATAATTTTAAAGACCACTGTATGACCTGTATGTCAGTTCCGGTACCTGTAACAAGGATGGGAAGTGTCAGGCTCCCTGGCGAAGGCACCGGGAGCTGGGCGCCCTTCGCAGCCTTCGAGGCCGCGCAGGGCACAAACGTCAATGCCACCGGCAAAGGGCACAAGAGGGTGCCGCGTGGTATAAGCACCTTTTTACATGGCTTAAGACAGGCATGTTGTCAAGACTAGTGACAGCCAGATGAAGCTTTCATTATTGGTATTAAATATAAAACCCCAAACCATTCATGGGGGTATTCCCCATCACAGGCTCCCAAGCTGTATTCCCACAGTCACCTAGAAACACATTGCTGCATTTCAGACAGTCATGAGTTTTTACAAAAGCATGAGATCAGAAGTATGAGAAGTGCATTCAGAGGTCTGCTTTTTCTGTTTTACTTATATAATGCTATTAAACGGTGCAAGCCTATAAAATCTACACATATCATCTGCCCACAATACCGTAAACTAGATCAGGGTGCAGGCGTCAGCTGCTCACTTAAAAACAAACAAGAAAAGGAAACCAACTGCTGTAACCTGCTCTCCCAGGAGCTAAGAATATTCACACACAGAGAAAGCCCGGGTCATATCACCTTGATAAGTCAGTGCAGAACAGCTCATAAAAAATGGTCTTTTCCTAACTGGGCCACCCGAGATCTCGAAATAGCAGTTTTCCATCTGCAGTCTCCTTCCTGGAGTACTCCGAGATGGTTAAAAGCTGCTTCCAAGAAAACACATTTAAAATATACCTTTCCTTTATGAATTGGTGAAAGAGATTTTAGCTCATCTGTGAGAAGTATATACAGTGGGAGGCCAAGATGTCTGTTCCCTAAAAATGTGTTCAGCTGGGGAAGGTGGAGGAATTCAATTTTCACTCCATCGTGTGCTTCAGCAACCAGCACTCCATCTTGCTGATAAGGCTGATGTGCAGTGATTGAGGAAGGCATGGCTAACAGGATAAACCTGAGCAGGAAAGAATCCCAGCTGCCCATCCATATCATTAAGCATGTTTTTACAGGCTCTGGAAGAATATGCCTCAGAT